TAATGTGTTCTTTGGTCTTACTCTTATCCTTCGACCTTCAGGATTCCATGTGAGGGCTTGTCTTGTGACACAATTGGGTGATTTCCTCAAAGTGTGCCCAATCCACTTCCAGCGCTTCTTCCTGATTTCTTCCTCCGCTAAAATCTGGTTTGTTCTCTCCCACAGTAACTTATTGCTGATAGTGTCTGGCCATCGGATCCGAAGTATTTTGCGTAGACAGCTGTTGATGAACACTTGTATCTTCTGGATAATGACTTTCGTAGTTCTCCACGTCTCCGCCCCATACAACAGAACTGTCTTGACATTTGTATTGAAAATTCTAACCTTGGTGTTGGTTGACAATTGTTTTGAACTCCAGATGATTTTCAGTTGTAGGTATGCTGCTCTTGCTTTGCCGATCCGCGCCCTCACATCTGCATCTGATCCACCGTATTCATCAATGATGCTTCCCAGATATGTAAAGATTTCCACATCCTCCAAAGCTTCTCCGTCAAGTGTAATTTGATTGGTGCATATTGTATTGTATCGGAGAGTCTTGCTTTCCCCTTTGTTTATATTGAGACCTACTGCTGCTGAGGCTGCTGCTACACTGGTCGTTTTCTCCTGCATTTGTTGTTGCGTTTGTGATAGAAGAGCCAGATCATCCGCGAAGTCTAAATCGTCAAGCTGCATCCTGCCTGTCCACTGTATCCCGTGCATTCCTCCAGATGTTGACGTCTTCATAATCCAGTCGATCACCAGGAGAAAGAGAAACGGTGAGAGTAAGCAACCTTGCCTAACACCGGTCTTTACCTCGAACGAGTCGGTGAGTTGTCCTCCGTGGACGATTTGGCAGTTTAGTCCATCATAGGAGTTCCGTATGATATTGACTATCTTCTCAGGAACGCCGTAGTGTCGAAGAAGCTTCCATAGTGTCGTCCTGTCCACGCTATCAAATGCCTTCTCGTAGTCGATGAAGTTGATGTAGAGTGATGAATTCCATTCGATTGATTGTTCCACAATGATACGTAGAGTTGCGATTTGATCTGTGCACGATCTATCCTTACGAAATCCAGCTTGTTGATCTCGAAGTTGAGCGTCCACGGAATCCTTCATCCTGTTTAACAATACTCGGTTGAAGACTTTCCCTGGTATTGAGAGGAGAGTGATGCCCCTGTAGTTGTCGCACTTCCTCAGATCACCTTTCTTTGGTATCTTGATCAGAAGTCCTTTTTTCCAGTCTGTTGGTACATGTTCTTCGTCCCAAATCTTACCGAAGAGGATGTGGAGTATCTTGGCAGTTGCTGTTACATTTGCTTTCAGTGCCTCTGCCGGGATGTTGTCTGGTCCCGCTGCTTTGCCACTCTTGATTTGTCTAATGGCCATGCTGATCTCTTTAATTGTTGGTGGGCCAACATCGATTGGGAGGTCTGTGGGTGCTGCTTCGATGTTGGGTGGGTTCAGTGGAGCTGGTTGATTCAAGAGTTCTTTGAAGTGTTCTACCCACCTGTTTCGTTGTTCTTCAATGTCGGTGATTACTTTGCCTTCCTTGCTTTTCACTGGTCTTTCTGGTTGACGGTAATTTACAGCAAGTTTCTTTGTTGTATCATACAGCTTTCTCATGTTTCCCTCTCTTGCAGCCTTTTCCGCTGTCATCGCTAAATCTTCCACATATTTATGTTTGTCGGTTCTGATGCTCCTCTTCACTTGCTTGTTTGCTTCTGTGTATTCGGCTTGTGCCTTGGTTTTTTCCGCTCTGGTTCGGCTGATATTGATCGCTGCCTTCTTGTTCCTTCTTTCTTCAATTTTATCCAGTGTACCAACAGTGATCCATTCCTTGTGATGGTGCTTCTTTTGGCCCAGAACCTCCTGACATGTAGAAACGATTGCCTCCTTGATACTTTTCCAGCTGCTCTCTATGGTGGTTCCCTCTCCATTGAGTAGATCATGAAAGGCCTCGAACCTGTTGCTGAGGGCTATGTTAAATTCGTTGAGTTTGTCAGCATCTCGAAGAAAGGCCGTGTTAAACTTTTGTGATGTTGTCCGCGCCATTGTCCAGTGCTTCCTAAGTTTTAGTTTCATCTTGGCGACCAGCAAATGATGATCGGATGCTATATCAGCTCCTCTTCTGGTTCTCACATCCTCCATCGTCCTCCTGAACTTTTTGTTGATGCAGATATGGTCGATTTGATTCTGTGTAGTGTGATCCGGTGAAATCCAAGTGGCTTTGTGTATGTTTTTGTGTGGGAATATGGTGCCACCTATGACCAGTTTATTGAAGGCACATAGGTTTGCAAATCTCTCACCATTTTCGTTCCTTCCTCCCAGTCCATATTGTCCCATGACATCTTCGTATCCAGTGTTGTCCTTTCCAACCTTGGCATTGAAATCTCCCATTAGAATGGTCAGGTCCTTGGTTGGGCACTTCTCGAAGATCGACTGCAGCCTATCGTAGAATTGGTTTTTAGCATCTTCATCGTAGTCGTTGGTCGGCGCATAGCATTGGATGACGTTCATTGTAATGCCCTCTCTCTTTGTTCTGAAGGAGGCTTTGATGATCCTCGGTCCATGAGATTCCCATCCTATAAGTGCATTTTGTGCTTTTCTGGACAGCATCAGTGCCACTCCTTGTGTATGTGGGGCATTTTCTTCTTCATGACCGGAGTATAACAGAAGTTCCCCTGAAGACAGTCGTTGTTGTCCAACCTGCGTCCAATGTGTTTCACTGATTCCAAGCACTTCCAGGTTGTATTTCCTCATTTCCGCAGAAATTTGGAAGACTCTTCCGGTCTCCCACATTGTCTGGACATTCCATGTAGCTATAAAAATTGTTGCTCTGGTTGTAAGAAGGTGCATCGGCCTCATGACTTCCGAATGAACTCGGCTTTCATCATGAGACGTCATTTTTCCTTCTACTCCCAGGGCAGAGTTTGAATGGTTTGAATGATTTTTTTCTGATTAGCATTTTTTAGCGAGTTGATTTTCTACGGGATGGGGTCGCTAACCCCATGCCCAAACCTCCTCCTTTACCCGGGCTTGGGACCGGCAGTAGCCCCTGGAGGAGCTACAGGCGGAGTTATTTGCCAAATACATACTAATAAATCTGATTTTATGTTTACATATTTTAATGTAATGAATGATTTCTTATTATATCAGTACGATTGGACTGAACTATAACTATTTAATGGGATGTTACATGCAGAAGTTATCATAAGTTCAACTAAGATTTACATTGTTTTTGATCTACAAAAATTGATGTATCAGTGTTATATTATTATTATTATCATCAAACAGCTTCCAGAGATAATGTCCAACTTATGAAATCTCAGTTACTATTTTTTAAATTATTAATGTTCTTTATGTACATACACGAACTTGTAACTTTTGTAACTAACGGAAAGAAATTCCTTTTAAGATATTTTTTTCTCATAGTTCGTGGATCAGTTGAAGTTAGACATTAACACCGTTGGATGCCAGCTCAGTGGTCTATCGGTTAAGGGCTTCGGCTCGAGACTGGTAGGTCCTAGGTCCGAATCTCGCGAGAGCGGGTTTGTGGATGCGCATTGCTGAGGAGTCCCATAATAGGACGAAATGGCCGTCCAGTGTTTCCAGGTTTTCGATGGTTGTCTAGCTTCAATTGACTCACGCTTTCAACTATGAAAAAAAAACTAAATCTCCACAAAACCCCTTCTGATAATTAATTTTTTTCCAATTTTATTGGACTATTTATCTGTAAAGTATTAAAGCACTAACCACTTTTTGCAAGGTAATAAAATGCTAGTTCCTTTTTTTAAAAAAAAACAACTTTAAAATGATTGAAAAAAAATTTAGGTTAATTATTTTACAATCATTTAAACAGAGGACAGATTGTAGTGTATATCTATTGACTAAAAGTAAATTGAAGTAACTTGATCATTCACTTATCAAAAATAGATAGAACACTTTTAGGATGTTTCTCATTATGTTAGAATGATTGTTTTTACAAATAAATCACTTTATTAAAAAAAAGTTGTCTATATATGGTTAAATAATAAATAAATCAATGATTTATTTTATTAAATCATTTTTACCAGTATATGTATATGTATATCCTATACGATTTAGCCGCTGTATCACAAGTGTTTTAGAAAAGACGGATTATTGCTAGCAGTAACATTGAGGATTGGTGTTTTATCCTATTTAAGACTTGTACAGGCTGTATATATACCAAGAAAGACTGGTCAAAATGCAGTCCTAAATATAACCGATGAGATTTTTCAAACTCTTGCTAATAATACCATTATTATCTTATCTGTCGAAGAAGTTAGTGGCTACTTGGACTCAGTAGCTGACTGGATGTTTTGAAATTTGAACCAAACGCTACTGTGTTGTGATCCATATGTAAATGCCAACACAGAGATGTCGGTATATCCTGCTGACATAGTTTAAATAAACGTACGTAATAGTTCTTACCGCTAACTACAATCTGTTCACTTTAGAAAGACTTGTGATGTGTATTTCTTTTGCTGGAGGGAAATGAAAGGATTGTTGTATGGATATATATAAATTGATTGCGGTGAAATATGATTTCGTTGATTAATTTTATGCAAAAATCCGGTCATTGAACTCTTTCCGCTTAAATAAAGATAGCCTTTACTCCCCAAAATAAGTGATCTTCGAAACATAAAATAAATAGTTAATACAAATGTAGAGAACTAGAACACAAGTGGGGATAAATAATTCATTATTTAACCCAAAATTACAGAGTTCTTTGGTAGAGTTTGAAAACCATATATTAAATACTACATTTGCAAATCTTCCTTTAAATCTGTGTAATTCTCCCAATTCCCAATTCCTTTCTATTTCCGTTTCTGTTTTCTTCAACCCTATCTTTTCAGTCTTCTGCTGCCAGGCATTCCGCTTCTGACTGGTGTTACATACTACTTATGTCTGTCGACACAGGTGGTTTACACCTCACAAATAACTCTAGTATATATATATATATACGTTGACAAAATAAATCTTTTAATTATGCCTTATAGCGTATCGCTAGATCATTCTACAACTGTCCAAGTCTTGATGGTGTCGAGTTAGAAGATGAGGACGGTGCAGGAGTGTACTTAACACATTGGGAGAAACGCCTTTTAGAGGTACGTTTTGCTAATAAATGCATCTATTAAAAAATGATAATCAGTAAGTTCATAATACTTAGCACAACATAAAGTCGTAGTACTCATAATTTATACAGTATCCTAATTTAAAAATGAATAGTTAAAATGCTGTAGAGGACTTAAGGATTTTCTTGTAAATGTAATTAAGGATGAGAATTAAGCCTGAACACTAACTTATTGTTTGGACATGTTTAAAATATCATACAATTAAGCGTCTTTGACCAATGCATATAGCTGACTGACTAAGTTCTATAATTACACCTTAACAGAACGTGATCACGTGTTACAGGCGATAAATCTCACGTCAGTCGTATTACAAACGATTAAATCATTCTTCGTCGTATCAGTATCCATAACTGAAGATTTATCCTTGCAATGAAATTAAGCTATTTCGTTATTCTTCAACAAACAACCATCAAGTCTTCATGATGGATTTTTCCTCTTAGGATCGATTGTTAAATCTCCCCGCATAATTTTCAAAAATCATAATAGTACCTTTTTTGTTCGTATCTTCATAGCTTATCCTTTATGGTTTATGTCATAGATACTAAATTACTTATGAGTAGTTACATTTTGATTTCTAAATTTTCAAACATTTTTTAAAAAAGAATGATTTGATGACGGCAACATACACAAATTCCTTTCAAATTTCACCGATTACTCTGGCAATGATGGAGGATACCGGGTAAGCCCCTTAGGTTCAAGTGGCTCTAAACCTTTTGTATTATGAGTTCATATCCCCAAGATTTGATTACTTTTTCTCCCCTTAATAAAATGTTTAAATCTCAATGCTTTTCACATAATTATGTGATGATCGCTTAAAATTAACCTTCAATTCCTAGATCCCATTTGGATTTTTCAGTGCCCATTGTGTTATGTATAATCGTGTAACGTTACAACGGTTTATTTGAAAGTCCGACACTTAACAGTCAATGATAAAGACATGATGTGATTAACAGGATAATTTAGTTTTTTTTGGTTAACATAATCAGTAAGGAAATTTTCAAAAAAAAAACAATACAATTACTTTATGATTACGCCCTTGGTTGTGAAAATAGATTCTTGAACTGGTAATATTCAAAAGTAGTTTTTATGCATTGAGTTTCAGAATCTTAAACTTCACTCATCATAATCTGGTTTTCATGTTATTGAAAAAACATTTCCTGTTTAGATGAAGGTTAATAAAAATAACTGTTTACTTATAAATTCATTGCTAATGATAGATTTGTTTAATTAATATCATAAAAGTCATAGATGAACTTATTTGCATGTATATATTTTATCATGATTTTACCTGGCGACTGTAAACAAACTCTTTCAACGGAATAGTACTATTAAATAGTTAAAACTAGGATTGAACATCAACAGTTTGTTTACCGAATAGGTTTTGAAAGTTCCTCAATTATGACAATGAATCATATTTTTCACATTAATTTCAATGATTGGTGAAGGAAGAAGAATTTTAAGCGTGTTTTTATTATTCTAATAAATTCGTTCGCAGTTTTCTGTAGATTCTTAATGTTTTCAGACATTATATTTTCAAAGTATTTGTTTAGTTTTCAGCAGACTGTTTATCAAGCTAAACATCTAGTCAACAAATAACCGGGTTTAACTGTTACAATTTATCACTAGTCATGCTATTTCGATCTCTTTAACTGTGGGTTGATTGGCTTTCGTGTAATTGTTAGTGGAATTTTCCCATTGAATTCTTTAAACTTGTATAGTAGATAAACAACATTCTCATCACTCCTAGATCTTCTGAAGTAGAGGCTTAAGAAACCTTTATTTTGTACATTCATATTTAATTTTCCAATAAAAGCAATTTACATTCTATTTACAATTAATATATTTTTCTTCATTTAAGCTGGTACATCTCAAACTATGCATTATCTCAGTCTTTCAGTTGGGGTAGAGGTCGAGGATGTACCTTTGCTACTGCCAGTTGTTTAGAATACATGCTAGAACAAAGTCGTGGGTGAGTAATTTGATGTAGAACTTTCGCTATTCAATATTTACACTAATGTTAAATGTTTACAGGTTAGTGGACTGTACATTTAATTGATCTGAGAATAGTCAACATAAACATTAGAAATAACTCAAAGATTATTGACGACTTACTTTGGAGATATGTACAGATCACTGGGAATCACTGAACTCGAAGATGGTATGATGATGCTTGCTGACAACACAATAGTCCATTATCAAATTGTGACTTCTTTGACTTGTTATGATTTGTCCTAGACTGTAGCCAATTGTTATGACTTGATCAAGGTCGTCGCTGATTCGTTATGACCTTACGAATTTAACAAGGACGTAATTCTCGTAAATGATCCACCAATAGAATACGCCTTCTACGACCTTCACACTGTGACAATGACGTTCGATTAATATGAGTAATCTAGCGTCCTTATTGGTCCTTATCCGCCTACCCGTCCACTTGAGTCCAGAACACCAATAGCAGCTGCTGTAATGCGAATCGTTTATTTCAAGCATACTTTATCTATATACCAGACAGGCAGACCACACCACACCATAAAATAGAAAATAATATTTGTACAAAACCAGGCCAAATGAAGCTGTAAGCGTGGGAGACAATAATCAATAAAACTGAGCATAACGTAGGGACAGTAAATCATATAGTAATAATCAATAGGTCAAAATGAAGCTAGTAATAAGATGAATATAGATATAGATAATCCAGTTACTGAATAGTTATACCATAGGAATATAAATAGATTAATAGTCTAATAAGAGGTCCCGTAAGTTATCAGTACTTACTTTTTCCTAGTATATAACACCTCCCCTTTTTTGAAGCATCATGGATAATAGCGATCCTTGGGATTTATTTTTATACGATTAGGTTTCCGCCTGATGCGCTGCGACCGCCTTGGGAGTGTTGTACACGTCTTCTTTTTATTCGGGTCCTTTTTAATTTCATTATCCGACTCGGTTAATATATTTAATGGTATATCATGCTTTCTATCACTTTCTATCTCCCACTCCTGTCTGGTCGGCTGTATCTGGTTTGCATGTCGTACCCATATCTTTTGTCCAACTTTCACTTCATAAATAACTTTCCCTTTTCTTCGGACTATGATGCCAAATTTCCAGGTTGGCTTTACTCCCTGGAAATCTCTTGCCATTACTGCTTGTCCTACATTAAACCTTCTGGGTAAGGCACCATGCCTTTTGTTAAATTGCAGTTCCATTCGTTTATTCTTGCATTGAATGACTTCAGGTTTTGGCTTCATTTGTTCCATAGGTATTCTAATCTTTCTTCCAAAAATTACTTCTGCCGGGCTTTCTTGATTATTTGTTGCTGGGTTGGGAGTTGCGCGGTAGCTTAGTAAAAATCGTTGAATTATATCTTCTATTTCTCCTTCCCCTTCGGCTTTAAGCAATGCTCTTTTAAAAGTGTCCACGAACCTTTCGACTAAGCCGTTAGACTGTGGATGGTATGGGGGTGTCTTGATATGCCTAATGGCATTGGCAATGCAGAACCTCGAAAATTCAGCAGAGGTAAACTGTGGTCCATTGTCTGACACCAATATATCTGGACACCCAAAACAACTGAATACTTGCCTCAGTTTCTTCACTGTAGCTTGTGTTGAGACATATTTCATATAGTGGACTTCTGGCCACTTAGAGAAAGCATCAATGATTATCAAGAACTGTTTACCGTTTATAGGACCAGCAAAATCTACATGAACTCTTGACCACGGATTTGATGGTGTTCCCCAACTCTGCATTTCGGTCTTGCGAGGGGCTTTCATGGCTTTTGCACATGCTGAACATTTTGCAACATATTCTTCAATCTGCGCATCAATATTCGGCCAATATACATAACCGCGTGCAAGTGCTTTCATCCGCGCTACCCCTGGGTGTGCAGCGTGCAGTTCTAACATCACCTTCCGGCGTAGGCTTGTGGGTACAATAACTCGATTTCCAAACATTAGGCACCCGTCCACGAGCGATAAAGAATTTCGTCGGTGAGCATATTGTTCAATATTTTTGTTGTCTATATGAGAAGGCCAACCATGTTCAAGGTAACTTATAATCCGTTTCAGCTCGCCATCTTCTTGAGTGTAGCGTCTAATATCTTCAGCGGACAATGGTGTTGCTTTTATAGCAACTTGTAGTATTTGGTGGATATCTTCTTCCAATGATATCGTTGCAATAATAGAATCTTCGCTTTCCTGCTTCTGATTCGCAATTAATCGAGATAAAACATCAGCTTGTCCAAACTTTTCAGTTGATTTATATAGAATTCGGAAATCATAAGCAAGTAGTGTAATAGCCCAGCGTTGTAATCGATTAGCTGTATATGCAGGAATACCTGACTTCGATCCAAATATAGATAAAAGCGGCTTGTGATCTGTTAGAAGAGTAAATCGACGTCCATAAATCATTTTATGAAATTTCTTTACTGCAAAAACTATAGCTAATCCTTCTTTTTCAATTTGACTATATTTTCGTTCAGCTGGGTTAAGTGTTCGGGATACATGAGCAATCGGCTTTTCTTTACCATCAGGAAAACGATGGCTGATAACAGCCCCAATTCCATAGTTGGAAGCATCAGCGGCAACAATTATTTCAAGATTAGGATTGTAATGAGTCAACAATAATTTAGAAGATAAAATCCTTTTTATTTCGTCGAAAGAATATTGGCATTCTTTTGTCCAGTGCCATTTTGCATTAGCCATCAAAAGTTGATTTAACGGGTGTCTCAATTTATACATCTGGGGTACGAACATACTATAATATCCAATCATCCCCAAGAATGAACGGAGAGTTGTAACATCAGTTGGTGTGGGCATATTTTTGATGGCATTTATATTATCTGGATCTGGCCGACGACCATCTTTATCAAATATATATCCAAGATATTTAACAGAATCTAGCATAAATTGACACTTTTCTTTTTGTAATTGAAACCCGGCTTGCGATATTCTATTGAGCACTACGTCTAACCGACTCATCAGTTCGTGAGCAGAAGAGGCAACAACTATAATATCGTCCAAATAAACTGCCACACCTTCAAGGTTAGACAACATGGTATCCATAATCTGTTGGAAAATTGCTGGAGCTGGTTTTACGCCAAAAGGTAATCGGCTAAACTGGTAAAGTCCACGGTGGGTATTAATGGTTAATAACTCCCTCGAATCTTCGTCAACTTCTACTTGTAAGTAAGCTTCAGATAGATCGAGTTTGGAAAAGTAACGTCCACCGTTTAGTTTAATAAATAAATCTTCTGGCAAGGGAAGTGGATATGAGTGATTTTGTAAAGCATCGTTTAATCCTGTTGAAAAGTCTGCACACAAGCGAATAGTTCCGTTTGCTTTCTGCACTACTACTATTGGTGCTGCCCATGCTGAATAATTAACCGGTTGTATTACACCCAGTTTCTCTAATCGATCTAACTCCTTGTCAACTTTATCGGTGGCTGCATACGGGACTTGGCGTTTTGGACAAAAAACAGGTTTTACATCCTGTCGTAAATATAACTTTGCCTTTCCAATGGTACAGCATCCCAATTTATTCTGGAACAACTTCCTGTGTTTCTGTAAGAGGTCTTCTATCGTTATGGCTTTCTTAGCTACATGAACCATGGGTAGATCTCTGGGACTATTTGTGCACTTCATCATGCATATTTCACTCAATGGTACATCCCATAGGTTTAGTTTATCTATCCAATCTATTCCAATAAGGTCTAAGTCATGCCTGTTCGTTAAATAACAATTCCCTGTGAAGTAGTTATCTCGAAATTCAACAGAGCATTTTATAATTCCAACAAGCTTTAATATATCTCCGGATGCATTTCGTGCAGTATGCTCAGTAGGTAATACTTGTGGACAACCAATTAAATTCCATGTTCGTTTAGAGATCAATGTGATATCTGACGCTGTATCCAATTGTAATCGGACATGAACACCATTAACCAATAATTCCACATACCTTCTTTTATCTGCCATACTTAAAGCTCGTGTAGAATATATACTGTTAATATATTTGTTTTGAAACTGGTGAGGACGCTTCGTAGGCTTTGATCTCAAATTTTCTCTTGTCCGGCAAACTGATTCTTTATGACCAAGTTTATTGCACACCGTGCATGTATGATTTCTAAATCTGCAAAATCTTGAAAAATGCCACGCGCCGCAATACCAACATTTCGTTGAAGGTTTAGGAATTTTTGTGTGATGTTTATAACTTTTGGCACTTTTTTGTCGTTGACTTGTCTTAACAGCATGGACAGAATGAGTAGATGGTGCAGCACTTTTGGTTTCTAACATAGCCGAATCCTGTTTCAAGTTTATTAATCGTTGACACTCACCAGTAATGGTTTGTAGCGTCATTTCTTCGTCATGTTCCATACGAGATAATAACTTCATGCGAACATCAGCATCGCTGGGAGAATTCAGACCAGAAATAAATAATAAGCATTTAAATTGATCACTGGTTAACACATTTAATTTAAATCGTTCCGCTTGTAAATTTACTCTTCCGGCATACGTAGTATAATCCTCATCAGCTTCTCTAGTCAGTTGTAGGCAATTATACCGGATACGAAATAGAGACATCTGTTCAGAAAACATTTTATTTAAAATGTTAACAGTTTCATCGAAACTAATCTCTCGTGGATGTTTGGGCAGGATATGGTTTTTATACTTCTGATGCTCGTTAGGACCAAGTTTCTGTAAGAGCAACCGGACTTTCTTTGTGTCCTCCATAGCAGCAAATTCTACTCGAAAAATATCTTCAATTCTGCCAAACCATGCTTCAAAAGTGTGACCGCTGTCTGCATCGAAAATAAATTCTGGAATTGGATTAAGATATGACTCTATGCTTTTATGTTCTGGAATATCTTGCTGAATAGACATTTTCCCCAAAAGTGCTTCCAGGAGTTGTTGTTGACAAGCTAACATCTGTTGCTGCTGCTGCTGCAATATTAACTGTAGCTGTTCTGGAGAAATTGACATTTTTTTTAAAAATGAGAATAATAATAATAAATCCAAAAAAACACCGGCAAATATTATGGATTATTTAATTCCAAAATGACGTCACCGACTGCTGTATTTTTTTCAGAATCACGTCCCAATTCTTGTATTTTTTTTTTACCGAAATCCCCGTCGCCAATTTGTTATGATTTGTCCTAGACTGTAGCCAATTGTTATGACTTGATCAAGGTCGTCGCTGATTCGTTATGACCTTACGAATTTAACAAGGACGTAATTCTCGTAAATGATCCACCAATAGAATACGCCTTCTACGACCTTCACACTGTGACAATGACGTTCGATTAATATGAGTAATCTAGCGTCCTTATTGGTCCTTATCCGCCTACCCGTCCACTTGAGTCCAGAACACCAATAGCAGCTGCTGTAATGCGAATCGTTTATTTCAAGCATACTTTATCTATATACCAGACAGGCAGACCACACCACACCATAAAATAGAAAATAATATTTGTACAAAACCAGGCCAAATGAAGCTGTAAGCGTGGGAGACAATAATCAATAAAACTGAGCATAACGTAGGGACAGTAAATCATATAGTAATAATCAATAGGTCAAAATGAAGCTAGTAATAAGATGAATATAGATATAGATAATCCAGTTACTGAATAGTTATACCATAGGAATATAAATAGATTAATAGTCTAATAAGAGGTCCCGTAAGTTATCAGTACTTACTTTTTCCTAGTATATAACATGACTTAATTGAGAACCCCACCAAAAGACACTGATTTTCATCCTTGTTGAGGTCTCGGTTGTGCATTACAGGAAAAGTATTAAATTAAGTCAAGACGTTCGAACAATGTGCCCTTTTTAAGTCATTCTTCAGTGATTAGAAACCACGACTAAATTAGTTATTAGTTATTGATGAAGTCAGTTTATTATACATTTTGACTTAGAAATAAAAATCACAAAATTAAAGCTCTTACCTAAGAACTGATTTGTATAATGGAAGAGAGTGCAATGAATATCAATCTGATAATAAACTGTAGCATAGATCTTCATATATGGTTTGATTACGTGATTTAGCTTGATAAATCCCCTAAACAAGCATCAGTTGCAGAAAGCTTTGAGGAAGCACTTTAGTGCTCCACATAGAATTTAAGATATTCATTGGGTAGACTCAATGGAATTACTATAGCATATGGACGTCTTCAGTAGCAAACTAAGCTTTTTTGAATAGTTTATGTTATCCTGTACATATGTTTGATAAATCTGATAAGCAGAATATTTTCTGCTATATTTATTGATAGGGCAAACAGAGAATGATAACCTTTTACATTTAAATTGTAATGATACTTTGACAGCATGGTTTTAAAAGGTCCACTGTTAGTGGATTATACAAAATATTCACAGTTTTTATAACCAAATCACTTCTGATACGAACTTGTTCTAAAATTTTGGAATAAGATATTCAACATGAATTTCTTTATAAAACAGATTTACATTTCTCAACAACTTTTACCTAAATGTGTTTTGACGCAAATAGTTTGTATGACACCGTGAATTTCTAGTTTTCATAACTACAATGGATAGCGTATTATGTTTTCATTTATTTTTTAGTATGTCAATTAAGGTAGTTGACTTTCATAAGTTATTATATTAGAATATGGATATCTCACAATCACTGCTAATTATGTAAATTTTTTCTTTTATATTTCGTAAATTACATAATAATTTGACATGTAGATTAAATAAAAGGTAAACTATCTTCGTTTACAAACCAACATCTTCTGGGTATTAATTAACGTAATATGTTTTATTTTCCTTTTTATAGTGGTCATCCAATTACACCATTTTGTCAACAGTTAACTTCAAGTTTTCACAATAAAAATAATGGATTACAGGTTAGCTGTACACCTGGTAAAGAAAGTTATGGATTCTGTAATCTAATTGAATATTCTAAACCGTTGCCTTCTGAATATGTTTATTTCGTTAACACAAATTTCCCGACTGTTACGTTGAATTCTGAAATCAATCTAGGTACTGGAAACTTAACTAATCAATATCCTTTGGTTAAATTAGGAGGGAAAATAGCTTTGGCTAATTACTGTCCATATCATCAGGTTTGTTAATTAAACTATTTTATTTTATTATACTGTTAATAGAATCACTCACTTAAAGAATATTATGTGATTGTCAACGTGTGAGAGTTAAACATTGAATAACGCGGTGCTGTTTGAAGCGAACGGTACTGGGTTCGAGTCCCAGAGTGAACATCAACTCTGAGATGCAGGTACATGCAGCTGACGAGTCCCAAACAGGACAAAACGCACGTCCTGGATTCCACTGCCAGCCACTATCCATCTTTGCTTACATTGCTCGTGAATTTAGGCTATATCGAGTCAATACACACAGTATGCACATATGCCAATTAGAGACTGACCAGTTGCAGTCCTAAACATCAATGGGAAGATTCAAACAAAACAATACTAAGTGAATTTTACTTGCGCCTGTTACCCCCTCGTGGAGGAACACAGGCTACACACCAGTATTCTCTATCCAACCTTGTCCTGGGCAATCTCTTCTAGTCAACATTCATCCTTTTCATATCTGCTTCTATTTCCCGGCGTAATGTGTTCTTTGACCTTCCTCTTCTCTACTTCCCTTCCGGATTCAAAGTTAGGGCTTGTCTCGTAATGCAGTTTAGTGATTTCCTCAATGTATGTCCGATCCGCCTGTAACTCTTCAAGAGTTAATGCCGATCCCAAGCCCCGGTAAAGGAGGAGGGTTGGGCATGGAGTTAGCGACCCCATCCCGCAGAAAACTAACTCCCTAAAAAAACGCTAACCAGGAAAAATAATTCAAACCATAATAGTAAAACATAGTCTAGATTTATGACATAGACATATTCAAACTTATTCTGATTTTGACTGAACTAAATATTTTGTCTTGTTCTTTTATATTACTTAAAATTATATTAAATGGGTTATTCGTTTGTTTACTTTGAAAAATTGGCTTATATCAAGTCACGAAACATCAAAAATTCAAATTTCTACTCATTGTAAGATATCACAAATATATTATGATTTTCTTATCCTCATTGAAGTGAGAATCCATATGTTTTGGTTTTGGTTTGTTTCTACACAGTTTTTAAGTGAAACATTCTTTCCACTAATTAACAAATGCCTAGATGGATCTATTTTAATAGAATTGTTCTTTTACATATCACTTTTATTAGATTTTATATAATATAATAATCTCTATTCATTCTTATATAAACTTGTTTTTTTTATAGGAAATTGAATGGGAAGATGATGTAGGAAAATCAATTGCTAATACTCATTGTCATGTATCAACTAATCTAAAAGGTAACTTGAACCAAATGTTTGTTTACACTTGCATTTGATTAACTTTTGGTAAAATTTATACCATGGTAATTAATCGATCAAATTCAGTATAATTATCATCATTCACTTCAATTTTTACAAGTTGTGTATTTTAAATTATATACCGATCAAATTATTTTCTATTGAATAGTTCATATGCTCACTAGTGACTGGCTCCTTGAGGTATTTCCTGGAGTTCTAATGAGAAACAGTAACCAGTGGATTTCAACTAGGTCTGTTGTGATTTAGGAACTCACTGAAGACAATTGGTGAATAGTTGCTCAATGTCGTGGATTGGTTGATGTTAGACTTTAGTACCGTTGGATGCCCGCTCAGTGGTTTAGTGGTTAAGTGCTCTGGCGCGAGACTAGTAGGTCCTAGGTTGGAATCTGGGGAGGCCGGATCGTGGATACGCACTGCTGAGGAGTCCCACAATAGGACGAAACGGCCGTCCAGTGCTTCTACGTCTTCCATGGTGGTCTAGCTTCAATTGACTCATGATCTCAACCATATTGAACAGTTGCTGAGCAGTAGTTTTTTTCTATATTTTAGTTGCATTAAATTACTCAACAGATTGATTAGGTTAATCACTATGTTTTTTGCACTGTTTCAATTTATGAAGTGAATTGGCATATTATAGACCATATATCAATTTTCATAAACGTAAGATAAACTATTTGTTATGTTTATTAGTAATATCTTTCTCTTGATCTCTCCGAATAAACTAACAGTAATCAATATTAAACTTTAAGTGGGATAGCTTTCATTTGCCTTATGAAATATTAGTTTTTTTTTATAAATTCACTTATAGGTTTTTAGAATGTTTTAATATTAATGACCTTTTCAAAATAACTAATTATATGATAAATAAAACTCCTCTTGATACTTCTTTTTAAAGAAGTTTTATTTCATTGAATGTTTCGAAATACACTACTATTATCAAGTGATTTGACTTGTTTTGAATCATCGGTGATATTCTTTTGTAATTGAATGGACGAAAATAGGATGATAACAAGTGAAACGACTTAGAAAGAATCGTAATATATATCAGAGACAGACTAGGGTACTGGATATTCTTTTCTAATCAGTTATAGTTATTATTGAGAAGGAAGTAAACCTCAACCACATTATTGGTCTCAAATGGATCTAAAACCGAAGTCAATTTTATATTGTGTCACTTATAAGTAGCTCATTACGATTCATATTTACAAGGTAATTGAAAAGATATAACCATAATATTTACCTTCAAATAATTGCTAAATATTTGGTGTTAATCATCAAACTAAATTTCTACGTCAGTATGAATTCATTCGAAGTCGTTTATAACAATTTCTGTTTTTCATTTCACTCATAGACCTAGATTACCTTACAAACGATTGTTGGAGATTCACTATTCATTTGTTTCATTTTATTTTACAGATCCACATCACAATTTTAAACTTGAACGATTTGGTATGAATTCTGTTTGTGTAGAGCATAGTCCCAACTGGCATTTAATAAATGGTGATTCATTATTTGTTCCACCAGTGGAAGGAGCTGGATGTTACACAGTATGATTTGAACAACTTTTTCAATGATTATATCGATAGTGCTTAATCTTCTGAACACTGTAGAACAGCAGAAGACTTCGTTTTCAGTTTTACCCTCATTCATTCAATATATTAAATCATTTTGTAACTATTCATTATTGAAGTGAAGTGCATTTCTGCACATTTATTTGTTTGATATATCTTACTGCAATATTATGATAATCATTTTCCTATTTTATCTGATGAGTCACACTGGTGAGGAGTATGTCTAAAATGTTGTAAAACGTCATACATTTTTCGTAATCTATGGATTTTCTAGCTAATTAGAATGATACGTTTTCCATATTCTATAAAAGTATTCATGTGAAGCCTAATAATTATTCTCTACCAAAAGTATTGGTTGCCATTAAGAATGTATTATAAATATACATATCCATATCTTCTTCGAAATCTAACGTAAATATAATTTATTTAAACTGTTCACAGAGTTAGTATGAAAACGGAACACTGAAATCGTTCTGAGATCACTCCATACTAATTCTTTCTTGTTTAATCACTTCGATCTTATTTATAGGCTTTCATAATTCTTATTTAGATTACTCTTTGTCCGTCATATTTTACATTAAGTTGTATTCTTATTTAGACAGTATTTTTGATTAATTTTTCTATTTCTGAGAACAATGACCACTTTTTTATCGTATCTATGATTAATAAGATTCCAATTTTGTTTAGTTTTTATCTAAATTACTAGACAATTTTCAGCTTTTAATGCAAACAGTTATATATCAACTAATGACAGTTGTGGAGTTATTTCAAGCTCAAGGATACAGTAAACTTTCTCACCGTATTCTAGAACTGCTAAGCACTCATAATAATCTCATAGAAGTTAATTATGGTCAGTTTGTTGATAAGCTGAAGACCATTAAAAGTAGTGGTTAATAAATGTAGGAGAGAATGTGTATGTGTTTGGTTAGTAGATTTTTATAATTTATTAGTAAGTTTGAAAAAGTTATAACCATAGTAATTCTTTCAAAAATATTTTTATAGTTTACGGATACATGTTGCCTTCTTTTGAATATTTAAGTATATATCCTAAATGAAGACTCACGAACACTTTTAAAACCGGAGTTCTTTATTATCTATCTTACAAACGTTATCATCAGTTATTCGTATAATTTTTCTCGAAAAATTTCAGTTCCGATGTTCAATGACTGAAGGTGGTTTGATCTTAGAACTTGCTGGAGGTATGTCGATTCCTTGTGAAGTGCCAGGAGAAATTGGTGAAATTAACGCTTGTTTAACAAAACAAAGTCTTACTGTGAAAGGAAAACTTGTATGTCCTGATTGCAGATTACTGTGTCCAGTAAGTAAGAAATAAGGTCTTTTGAATTTATTTATTTCACCTTATCATCTATATATATATATATATATATATATGGGAATAAAAGTTGTAAACAATAATGGCATACTTCTACTCCAGTAGCTGAATTTTCTTAAAGCCGTGTTCTACAGAAGTGGAAATGAAATGCATGTTTAAGTTGACATGCTAGACGTGACTGATTCTCTGTGTCAGAATTTGTATGCAATATGGTCAAGCTTATACAGCTTAACACCACTAAAGTAATCCTCTTTAGCTAAAAGAATTTCCTCCACTATCTTACTGTTGAGATTTTCTTCTATCATTATGTATCCGTATGAGAAAGTGAAGATAATTTTTCTCATTGTATTTGATTTTATTTCTTTAAAATATATATTCTAGTTATCAGAGTGTCCGAAAATCTATTCTATTCCACAAAACAACGTAACATATCTCAGATCAAACTACTCCGACGACCATTCATCTTCGTTTTTGTATGAAACCAATATGTTTATACCTAAATCACATACTATACAGTATTCTCAGTTAATTGTTAATGAAACTGAGTCTATTGATGAAAATCCATTGTATATTGTTAAAAATTCTAAAAAGACTAAAGGAATTGTAATACAGCAAGCTATTTTACCTGGTGCATGTTTGGTCAATATCGCTTACTCATCTGCTTCCTTAACTTTTCTAATTTCCATATACTTTGTAGTGTTTTTTCAATTATTCTGTTTATAAAATGCCTTATTCTTTATACACACACAAAAATGTTTCCTATCAGTCGGAATTCATACTTCATTTTGTTATGCTTATGATGTTTGCTTTTTTTTAACATGACAAGATCCTAACTGACATTTTTTCCAAATAAAATGAGTAAAAAGAAACAACATGCATTTTCTATTTTAAAACATTCAAGAATACTTGTTTACAGTTTTTTTTTGCAAATATATTTAAGGGACACTATAGCAATTGTTGGTAAGAAGTACTTTTCACTGTCATTTAACCGAATTGATCAGTCCTTATTCTAAATGATTGGCGACAGCCATCGCTGATCCTTACATTGAGATTTTTAGTTATGAATACTCATATAGAAAATATTTCGTCAGTGCTGGATAAGTTCATACTGTATCTAAACCAGTTAAATGAACCATTTGCAGATATTATAGTTATTCATTCCAGTTTTGCATTGGATTTCAATTTCCATTTATCAAGTAGAAAAATGAATATCCACAGTCAGGATTTATAGGCCCACGCTAGTGGTATCGGAATATAGTGTGCTATAGCGTCTGTAGATTATAATAGCATGTCACTGCAATGTATATATATCATTTCAATCCATTTTTAGGCAGGCACAAACAGAGATAAGAAGGAAATAATAATCAAATAGACTGGAGAATTCAATCTGTTTTGACTAGAATTTAGGGTCCCGTCATAGTAAGTGATGAAATAAGGAGGATAGAAGCGATGCAAGTAAATCGAGACTTTGTAACTATTAGTGTAGTCGCTAATACGGTGTCAGTAAAGTAGCCCTAGTGGCTAAATATTTACAAAATCAAATTTTAACAAAATGTTCAAACAAACGATAAAGGAAATTCAATCTAAATTACCAAAATGAGTTTCATAACCTTCTTTTAGGGATGAGTGAATTCACTGATTATTATTGAATAAAATTAAACACTTAATTGTAAACTAATTTCAAATGTAAAATGCTGCTGAGGATCCTATACCTCATGTTATCCATATTTTACTAAACCGATATATAACTTGACAATAGTTAAATATTGTGACACTTATCAGCATTAGGGTAACATGGTGGTTGGAGGTGGTCAACAGGAAACCCTGGACCCGGGTTTCGTGCTACTTGGCACTCGTCAGCAAGGTGTACCTGTAATCTTGAGGGAACTGATGCTCCCTGGCGGATTCGATCCCGCGTCACTCAGCTTCACAGTCAGAGACGTTACCACTGAGCTATTCGGGCCGCGACCGACCTCCTGTAGGACTGAGATGTAATCACAATTGATTGATCACTGGGTGGTGATCAATCTCATGCGTGTCAGGTCCTTAGTGCTGATCGAATGCTATCGAGATTACAGGTACACCTTGCTGACGAGTGCCAAGTAGCACGAAACCCGGGTCCAGGGTTTCCTGTTGACCACCTCCAACCACCATGTTACCCTAATATATATAGTGCCCGCAGTGTCGAGCCACCTAGACTGGTGGCCACATTGCAACTTGATCGATAGCATTCGATCAGCACTAAGGACCTGACACGCATGAGATTGATCACCACCCAGTGATCAATCAATTGTGACTTATCAGCATTACACAGTCTTTATCCAATATACAGTAAAGTAACTGAAGGTGAAAATATAAATCAGTGAACACAGTTATAATTGTTTAAACACATCATGGTTTACAAGAAACTTCAAGGTTTCGAGTATAACTTCATGTCACATCATTAACTTGAACAACCGCTGAATTTCTAACTGGTCTGAAACAGCTATCCAATATTATCTAGTTTTCAATTACTATCCAGTTAATATTAATCTATCATGAAATTACCTTTATGATAAGTGACTAATTTGAATATGTAACACATACTCATAAATTCTTGTCATTAACAATTATTTTACTCATTTTTTTAATATCATATATACCAATTTCTATTTAGATATAAATAGTCAAGACAGAAATTCGATGAATTGTTTAGTATATTAGTTGATATTTATATATAATTTACAATGCATCTCCTCACGATGCTCCACTGCTTTGTTGATCAGATCTTTAGGTCACAGGCTCCGGGTGAGGCCCCCTAAGAAAACCACCTGCTTCGGTGTGAGCTCCCGGGCAGCATTACAGCCCCTTTGTAACAATATTTATGTGTTTAAATAAATAAATAATAAATACAATGAAAGGCCTTTCTCGAAAAGACAAATAATAGGATTAAAATAATATTTAATTTTTCACATCATTATTTATATTAGTTATATCTGATTCTTATACTTGTTTAATTAAGTAAGAATATATCCTAGTTCTTAATAGCATCTAATTCGTTGTGTTAAGCTTTGTTGTTGTTTTACTTTTTTTCATATATTTTAAGTAGATTTGTTTACTTTTTTTCTTAACATTACTTACTTATGCCTGTTACCCTTCGTGGAGGAACATAGGCCGCACACCAGCATTCTCCATCCAACTCTGTCCTGGGCAATCCTTTCCAGTTTTTTTTCCAGTCAACATTCATCCTTTTTCATATCTGCTTCTATTTGACAGTGTATTGTGTTCTTTGGCCTTCCTCTTTTCCGCTTCCCTCCCAGATTCCAAGTTAGTGCTTGCCTTGTGATGCAGGTTGTTGATCTCCTCAATGTATATCCTATCCACTTCCAACGTTTTTTCCTAATTTCCTCTTCATCTGGAAGCTGGTTTGTCCTCTCCCATAAAATGCTGTTGCTAATAGTATCCGGTTTTCTTAACATAGAAGTATTAAATATTGTGTATATATATTAGAACAAGAATAGATCACATGACACAACAGAATAAATTTTTTCATTGTTTTTTTTGTTTTATCAATATGATAAAAATGAAGAAATAATTCTACTAGTTCACACCTGTCCAAATGTATAAATTAAATGACCGGGGGGAGGGGTGGCGGAGGAAGATATTCAATTTTGTTTACTAATGAACTGATTAATTACATTTTATAATTATGTTTGTTTCTTTCTCTCTCTCTCTCTACCTTTCCTATTCAATACAAAATTAATACTGGAAGGTATAAATAACTGTACTAATATATATTTTTTTTAAAAAGAAAAAAAAACAGTGACAACAACAACAATAGTACACTATAAAATAAGGGTTAATAAAGTTCATATCTTGACTTTATTTCATTTTCTAATCTGTAAAGAATTCTTATCAGAGACAGGGAATGTAAAAAAAAGAGAAAAAAAAAGGAATATTCACAAAGATGTTGACAATAATTATTGAATGAACATGTGGTCACATATTTATATGGTTAATATTAAATTCTAAATTCGTTTCTAAAAAGAAAAAAAAATAAATTTTTATCATAATTTTATAAGTTTACTGATAGAATATATATATATATGGTATATGGTATATCATTTTCATCGGTCATTATATATATATATATATATATGATATATATAAGGGTTTTGTTTTTATTAAAATACATTATCCCATTTAATTGGAATAATTATAACAGTAGTATATAAGATAATAATTACATCTTTTTTTAATTGTGTTCAAACATGTTTACAACATTGATGGGGAGGGGTTCTTTTTTGTTCTCTTTTTTTCTTTCTTCTTTTAAATTGACTAAAATTTAATATGTATATTATAGAATATTCTATTTAAATTAACTCTATAAAACCAATCATAAAATAGATTATAGAAAAGCATTAGTACTTAGAAACATAATATAATTAGAAGGATAGCAAGATAGAGAAGTAATATGATACAATGAGTATACAAACATTTTTGTTTGACATTTAGACTATTCACTTGTTTCATATATTTCGGTTGATATGTATATATAAATATGGAAAAGTGAGTATATTTAATTCATAAAATAATTGAGTATAATTATAGTCTAATTTCAATGAGAATTATAAATAAATGGAATGAATATATCTACACACACACACATACATACATACATATAGACAATTGTACATACGTAAATTATCTTTGATTTACTAAAGCTTTAAATATCCATATTATTATAATAATAATAAGTAATTATTTGTTATTAATTTCATTAAAGTGAAACATTAGATATATTCTCCTTTTTATAATAAAGTAAAAATTTACTCTGGTAAAAGAAAAACACAATTAATTATTGTATATAGTTTTATTATATTCAACAATGTAAATTTATTATTACTTACTTACTTATTTTCGCCTGTTACACCCAATGGAGCATAGGCCGCCAACTAGCATTCTCCAACCCACTCTGTCCTGGGCTTCCTTTTCTAGTTCTATCCAGTTCTTGTTCATTCTTCTCATGTCTGTCTCTATTTCTCGGCGTAATGTGTTCTTTGGTCTTCCTCTTCTCCTTTGACCTTCAGAATTCCATGTGAGGGCATGTCTTGTGACACAATTGGGTGATTTCCTCAAAGTGTGTCCTATCCACTTCCAGCGCTTCCTCCTGATTTCTTCCTCCTCTGGAATCTGGTTTGTTGTCTCCCACAGTGACTTGTTGATGATAGTGTCTGGCCATCGGATCCGAAGTATCTTGTGTAGAAAACTGTTAATAAACACTTGTATCTTCTGGATAATGGCTTTCGTAGTTCTCCACGTCTCCGCCCCATACAACAGAACTGTCTTGACATTTGTATTGAAAATTCTAACCTTGGTGTTGGTTGACAATTGTTTTGAACTCCAGATGATTTTCAGTTGTAGGTATGCTGCTCTTGCTTTGCCGATCCTCGCCCTCACATCTGCATCTGATCCACCGTGTTCATCAATGATGCTGCCCAGATACGTAAAGATTTCCACATCCTCCAAAGCTTCTCCGTCAAGTGTAATTTGATTGGTGCATATTGTATTGTATCGGAGAGTCTTGCTTTTCTCTTTGTTTATATTGAGACCTACTGCTGCTGAGGCTGCTGCTACACTGGTCGTTTTCTCCTGCATTTGTTGTTGCGTTTGTGATAGAAGAGCCAGATCATCCGCGAAGTCTAGATCGTCAAGCTGCATCCTGCCTGTCCACTGTATCCCGTGCATTCCTCCAGATGTTGACGTCTTCATAATCCAGTCGATCACCAGGAGAAAGAGAAAGGGTGAGAGTAAGCAACCTTGCCTAACACCGGTCTTTACTTGAAACGAGTCGGTGAGTTGTCCTCCGTGGACGATTTGGCAGTT